CTTATAACATCTACAACCAATTAATATTGCATTCACTCTATTTTTTTAAAAAAACATACAAAACAAAAGCCCCAGAATACTGACTGCACCCTATCAAAGCCATCTATTATTCACGGAAATGTAATTGGAGACCTAAGATATGTATGTTACGGGCCAACGGAGGAAAACAGAGTCGTGACAATATTTCAGAAAGGAAGGGGATCCGAGGGTATCTAATATTTAATTTCAAGTCTGTGGTTTTCTAATTCGAGATTAAAAGCAGTCACGTCTTTGAAGCCAGACAGTTGGTATAAATGTACAGTTAAAATATTCTATTCCACGGTCCCTAGACAGAGCTCTCTGCTCGTCCCAGGCTTCATTAAATTTTTATTATCATCCCAGACTAGAGCAGGGAATGAACGGAAAGACTGTCCATCTAATTGCAATTGATAAAAAAAAAAGCTCTTAGATCCCCCCTCATTTTAATATATTAACGACAGTTTTCTTCGTGTGTCCAGTCTTCCCTAGCCCTGTGATACACATAATCACATTATCACACAGATGCATTTTCTACTTTCCAATAGGCACGAGGGTTGGCTGTCTTCTCTGCCCTTTGAGAAGGCCTGGGGGTGGAGGGGGGGGGAAGTTGGTGAGAGTGAAAGGAGACAGAGTACTGGAGGCTGGCTTCAAAAAGTGATGCTATATGAAAAAAGAAAAAAGTGACATCAGTTCTTGAAGCATCTGGCGAAAGATCAACGAGAGACAACATTTGCACTAAGCTGGTTCTTCCTGTGGCAAGATGAAAGCATATTGTTACCCAAACAAAACAAACAGATTATTAGACCAGGCTGCAGTTTTCAACAGCCTTTCCACTGTGTGGGATGAAAGCAGAGTAATATTTTCATTTTATGTCTTTCGTTCTCACTGCTGCCCCACCCCAATCTCTCTCTCTCTCTCCTCTCTCTCTCTCTCTCTCTCTCTCTCTCTCTCTCTCTCTTTCTCTCTCTCTCTCTGAAACACACACACACACACACACCTCAAAAAAAACGTTTGCTCTTTTTGAGCCTTCTTCATATGCTATTAACCTGTCACACCATAGTACTATAGTGGTGTGTGTGTGTGTGTGTGTGTGTGTGTGTGTGTGTGTGTGTGTTCAGGGAGCCCTCTCAGCAAGGGTGCTTTAAATTTTTTTTGAAACTGGTGTAAATAAAGCTTTTCATCTCCAGGCATTGAAAGTACAGAATAAAACCCACAGTTTGCTTTCTGAGCAGCTTCCTATTATCACATCGCCACTTAATTTTATTTCTATTCTCTCCAAGTTAAATAGAAAGACTGGCTCACAAGGGAGCTGCCATGTGCCTACAGACTGGGGATGTCAAGCAGAGAGACTCACTGTGCAAAGTTAATTTCAATTCCCGAGGAGGATTTCACATTCCGGCTGGCTCTGACCCACAGTAATTAGCTGAGATAACTAATGATTACTTACTTATTCCTTGTAATTATCTGGATTTAATAATTTGCTGTGTAATTTATTAATTTGCTCATAATAGCCTTTCAATACTGGGAATAGCTCCTTTAAAGGGGCAAAGCAGGAAGAATTGAGTGACTTTTTTTCTCATTGCCATAAATCTGTCTCCTGACAAATGTAGACTTCAGAAATATTTCTATCATCATAATCATCTGGAACCTTTGTCTTCCTTTTTGTCCTATCAGGATACCAATGCAACATTCCCCCCCCCCCGCTTCTGTTGCAGCCCCTCCCTCTCTCCAAGGCCAACTGAAAAGCGCAGTTTTGAGTTCTAACGTGGACCATTTACCTAGAGATATAAAGTGTTTTCACCGAACAATTGAAAAGATGAATTTCTAAACTTACTGTCATGGCTTACCTAGAAAAATTTGAGCTTCATCCTCTGAATAATATAACTTTGAAAATCAAGTAAAATTCTTAATGACTTTTCCACTATCTTCTCAAGAGCTTCACCGATAAATAGATCAAAAGGAACTGATTCATTTAAAGTTTGAAATAAAGCATTTTAACCCCACCTCCTTCCCCCCCAAAAATTCTAATTCTCTTGGCAAAGAAAGGTCCCAGAATCTGTCTTTTGATAGTGAAAAGAGTTATGTATTGTTATTTACTTTTTAAATACATTTTATAGAAAACAGGAGAGTATTACATTGAATGGAAGTCTTATTTCATTTGCTTTGTCTATTTTCATTCTTTTCCCCCAAGTTATGTGTCAATGAAAGTTAATCTGATAAAGAATCGACCAACTGATTTAATGTTAATTATCCAAGGAAACTGCTTTTTTTCCAGATAATATTATAACCCAATTGCTGTAGAGAGTGCTTAGGTATCAACCAGGCTTTACATGGCTTTTGCTGTTAGTCATTTATTCCATTCTAGGTTAGATAATCACATTGAACAAAAAGATTGGATCACTTACCTTTAGAGAAGTTTAAAAAATAAACTATATAGTTCTGAAATGTCAAAATGAGTATGACTAGGTGTGCTGCTAGGTCAATACATAAACTATCTCATTCCAATAAAGCAGTAATTGTGGGCCTTGAGGAAATAAAAGTAGAAAATGAGTCATGAATTCCAATGGATTTGGCGAAGATCTTCAGCCTCAATTTGCTATTTATCCATTTGAGTATCTTAAAAGTCAATACCAAATGGACATTTATCATCAATTTATGCATGGTTCATTCCATTCTTACCTTTAATCTCTTCTTTAAGACCAATCATCTTCTCTCCAAATCTCTTAGGTTTGTTTTGGTATGTCTCCGCAACTCTCATTAATAAAAACTTTCAGAATATATTTCTCTCTAAAATTCTGCTTTTCCCATAAACCAAACACACTTATGCAGGCTTAAATAATGGATAGAATAGCCATCTTGTAGGCAAGAAAGGTTTTCATTTTGGATTTTTTCTACCCTCGTAATAACATAGAGAAGACAAATGTAAAATGTGATATAGTTTTGAAAGTCCAGGAACACATGGGAGACAAAGAACATTTGGTGAGTGGGGTGTGGGGGAATACAGGCCTTCACACCCAACTATTGAAGTAAATGGATAGTTGCTGTTAGGTCACTTTCCTCACAAAAATCCATGACAAATATACATATAGGCAAGCTACCATGTACTTTTAAATGCACTATAAAGGACACCTATTTTATTTCTAATCGGTATATTTCCCAATTTCTACTACTTCTACAGGACTTCTCTCTTTATTTAAAGATGTCATATTTGTAGAAAGAAAGCTAGCACTGTTGTCTGTCTTCCCCCTAACTCCTCTTTCTTTCAATGCACACATCCTAGACCCTTAGGTAACAGCCACATACAGGAATGGGGAGGTATTGTTTACTGAAGATACTTTGCATCCTAGATGAGCAAGCCTGATTTGTTATACATTCAAGCCATTTATTTCATCTTCCCCGCTCTGGAAAAAAGTAAGCAAGCAGAAAGTTTTCCAGCTGCCTAGAACTGCAGAGCCAAACTTGTTGGAGTAGGATTTGAGTCATGTGGTTACTATCCGTGGTGCTGAAACCAGTACCCTGCCTAGTGAGACTGGAGGCTGGCTGAAAAGACATTCAGGAAAACTGAATCGAAAAATAACATGGAAGAAGGGACTTTCAGTCTACAAAATATAGGAATAAAGTTAACCCATCAGGATCACTATATCTGAATTCACAATTCTTTCATCTCCCTACAACTTTCAATATTTCCTTAGGCATCTCTGCAATGCATGTCATTATTTCTAAATGGACACAAGGATTTTGTTCCTTCAAGTGTCTTCTTATTTCGGTTGTAGAGAAAGAAGTCCCTTCACCCATTATCCATCCAATTTTCACAACTATTTTTGTTACACCTGAAAATCACAATTAGCTTTCCAACATTTAACCCCAACTTGAGTCACTATAACAATTTCTATTGAGTCATGAGATGCTTTCTAACCTCAAAATAAGAAACATCTCAAGACAGTTACATATTGGAAGAGTCACAGTTGAAGTTAGCAGAATTACCCCTGCAGGGTGACCTGGTTCTTTCTTCTTGTCGGACCTATAGATTAATATGATGTTCTCATCATTAATAATGCAAATATCTGAACCAGCGATTTCCTGGAAAAAAAACAGTAAAAACCTAATATGTTGTGCAGTTGTTGCAAGTCTGAAAATTATTATAAAGGATAAGAAAGTGTCTTTAAACTAGGATTAGAAAAAAGAAAAGTCTGTGCATGAAATGGGAAGAATTTCTTTGTGCAAGATCACCAGTAGACAGACTTCCAGCAACTCTAGTTTCTGGGTGAGTTACAGAAAGGGGGCAAAATTTTGCTCCTTCTAACCAGCCAGGATTTCTTCCTCAACCCCACTCTGCCTACTGCAGAATCTGACTTTCCTTAAAGGTTATGGAAGAGAGAGAGAGAGAGAAAGAGAGAGAGGGAGAGAGAACTGACTTTACTTCATAACCCAGTAACCCAGGTGCTTCCTGCTCTGGCTTTGGGGCACTGCTCTCCAGGAGTGGTCAGTGAACTGAGAACTATGGTGGGCTAGTCCTTAGGCCTCAACCGGGGCATCCTACTTTCCCCAACCAGGCCTTGACTCTTGCCACACCCAGGCTCCCAGTGCTGCTGAAAACTGAACTGTGTTCCTTTCTTCCTTTTACTCATGAACTGAGTTTCTTTCTTCCTTTTACTATGCGATACCTCTGCTCACAAAGATTCTCTTTGCAGAATTATTGCAGGTCTGAGGAAAGGACTCCAAGGGAGGTATTTGGAACCAAATGTCTATCTCATCTAGGCAGAAAAACAAAGCACACTGTGAGATGAGCGCTAGCTATTAGAAGGCTATTAAAAACCTTGTTCTTTTATACTTTCTTAGAGAACCACCTCCTACTAAATCCAAGTCAGACTTTAATAACAATCACTCCATAATAAACCGTCAAAATGTGTTTCTGCTTTAAAAAATCTCCCATCAAAATAATTCCCATGTAAATGATAAAAGACATCACATTTTAAACACTGTTTAATTTTGATAGCATATTTTAATGAAAAAGCAGCATACTTTGCCAATAAAACATTAAAATCATCTCTTCAATGAAAGACAATCAAACAACACCAAAAATAATACATTACCATAGTAAATAAACCATCTATTAACAAAAACAAGAAACCAGGTCATATACAGAACTCAAGACTTCAGAGAGCCTCAAATGGAACAGCAATACAGCAAAATTTGTAAGAATATATCTATATGTGCATCATTTTGAATGAAATATTTACAACAGATGAGGTACCAGTCATGTACCTAATTTTTTTGTTCCAAAAGAATTCTACCAAACCATGTGAATGTGCAAGCAGTGCACTGTCTTTCTTATGATTCAAATTAGTTTTCCTACAAACAAACCTCCAAAAGGAAAAACTAAAGAATTCCTGTAAATGTTAAAATGTAGTCAACAAAGCAATTGAAAACTAGAAGACTGAAATATCTTGGTGAAATCTTAGAGTCTGGAAGGACAAACACCAAGTGGCAAATGCACCTACAGCTAGAAAATGATGCATTATAGTCATGCTTCCAACTGCTTCAATTCTCTTCCATTAGAGGTGTGTGTGTGTGTGTGTATGTCTGTGTGCGTGCGTGTGTGTGTGTGTGTGTGTGTGTGTGTGTGTGTGTAAAACGGTGAGAGCGTGTGTGTAGCAGGACAATGTGGGAATCCCCATTAAATATGTAACGAAGTAAACAATACTTTGGACAGTGAATCAGGTCTACACGATTAAGACATCCATTACTGAGTGTCAACTCACAAATCAGAACACTACCAGTAAAAAACAATGAAAAACAACCTTCATTCAAAGTGAGAATATACAAATGGTCCAAAGGAAGCGCAGTATAAGAGGAAAGCTGTAAAAATTCGGTAAACTCATCGAACAAAAAAAAAATGTTAACTTCACTAACCATACGTTTCCCTCCTTTTTTTAGACTAAAGAAGTTTAATTAATTAGAATGTGCACAAATTAAGTTGCTAGAGAGATAAATTAATAATTTACAGAGGGTTGTTCAGCAATAATCTAATAATAGCTTTCAAGATCAGTGAACACAGCAGGCGCAACTCCTTTCTTAAGCATGAACGCTTCAGAGAGGGAAGAAGGGGGTAAGAACCACAATAAAAATATATATATATAATATACAGTGTAAATGCAGAAAATCTGCCATCTTTTTTTTAAAATTCAAAATACTTTAGAGATGTCTCTATCACATTAAGCATCAACTCTAGTTTAAAGTCTCGGTCCTGAATCGATTTCTATTTCTGAAAAATAGCTGCAAAGTGTACTTTTAAACTTGAACAAGCGTGTCTTTAGGAATAAAAACAAATCTTACTTGATTATTCTGGGGTTCTTTCAAAAGGCTGTCTCATTTGCTTTCCTGCAGACAGCCAGCTCCAGACTTCCTCTGAATAAGCAGAGGTGCCTTTTCCGGATGGGGTGATGTTGAAAGGGATAACTCTGTTACAACTTGACAAATCCCTTCGTCTGTTTTTCTTTCCTTTGAGGAGTCGGTTCACATTCTCACCGGGTTTGGGGCTCAGTTGCTCTGTCGATCTCCATTTCTCGCTTTATCTGGATTCACATTTACTGGAATTATTTCTGGTTGCCAAAAGTGGAAAGAAAAGAGGCAGGAGAGAGAGGGAGGGAAAAGAGGGAATGAGAAGGGGGGGGCTGTCCCTGGAGGGGGCAAGGGTCTCCTAAATGCCCGCGGAATATTTCATTCTTTTCTGTTTCTGCCTCTGGTTGCAAAACCAGACGCGCACCACGTTTTTCTTAAGGTCCAGCTTCTCTGCGATGGCGGCGATCTTCTCGGAGGAAGGCCGCGGCTGGATAGCGAAGTAGGCTTCAAGCGAGCGCTTCTCGGGTGCGGCGATGGACGTGCGCTTGCGCTTTTTTTCCGCGCCGTTGAAGAGCTCCGGCTTGGTGAGCTTCTCGCGGTGGGACTTCTCAGCCTCCTCGAGCCACGCTTGCAAGATGGGTTTGAGCGCGATCATGTTGTTGTGCGACAACGTGAGGGACTCGAACCTGCAGATGGTGCTCTGGCTAAGCGAGCCCACGCCGGGGATCTTGAGGTTGGCCAGCGCGGAGCCCACATCGGCCTGGGTCACCCCCAGCTTGATGCGTCGCTGCTTGAAGCGCTCAGCGAATGCCTCCAGGTCCCGGGGGTCGGCGTCCACGTCGCTCATGCACCCCATGTGCGAGGGCAGCCCGTGCGCGTGGGCCATGCTGAGCGCTGCTTGGTGCATGGGGTTCATGGTAGCCATGTGCGGAGCGTGAGCCGGCGTGGACACTACCGCGCCGTCGGGCCCCGCCATGGCACCCAGGGCCAGCCCGGGACTCAGGTGCTCCAGCAGCTCGCCCTCAAGCCCCTGATGAGGCTGATGGTGGTGGTGGTGGTGGTGATGGTGGTGGTGGTGCGTGCCCGCCAGCGCAGACGGGTGCGAGATGGGCACCGACGAAGAGGAGGCAGCCGATGTGCACGGGATGGTGTTCATGGTGTGGTAGGTGGCGTCCGGCTTGAAGGGGCTGTGGTGGGGCGGGTGGTGGTGGTGGCTCTTGCTCTGGGAGACGATGTCCACGGCCGCCAGAGCCTCGGCGCGGGCCAGCAGACTCTCATCCAGCCCGCCGAATATATTGCTCTGCAATTGCAAGTAAAAGGCACACATTACGCTCAGCAGGGAATTGTGCGCACTCTCTCCGGAAACCCTGGCCCCGCGCTCCACGCTGCCGCCGCGCCTACAACATCCTCAGAACGTTAAAATAATAATTAATAGTAATAATCATCATAATCTTGAAAATAGCTGGTAAGGAGGAGAGGCAGAAAGCCACCCGGAGAAGGTGAGTGTGCACAAGGAGGAAGAAAGTGAGCCTGCAAACAACACAACACGCGCGTGGGCAACATCCCAGGTCATAAAAATTAATATGAAAGGAAAGACCCGCTGAATACATAAGAGAGGGGGTGGAAATTGGTTGGGGGTAGGGGGGGTGATTTGCTGTGCAGACATGAAAAAAACATCAAGCAGATAAAGGGGGCTGTCAAAATGTGCCTTTAAGCGGTGATTATGCAGAAATACGCACCGGTGGGGTTGGAAGACATGCTCTCCGCATCGCCTCGGAGCCCCCGCCGCTGCCGCCGCTGCCGCCGCTGCTACTCGAGCTGCTGCTCCGGCCTCCACCGCCCCCACCACTGCCGCCACCGCCACCAGCGTTGCTCGAGCTGCTAGGAGAGCTGGCGGAGGGCGCCGCGGGCGCGGAGGAGCCGGGCGAGGTGCTGTGCAACGCCGAGTACTTGGGCTCCACGTGCAGGCTGCCGCCGTGCGGCATGCTGAACGCCTGCTTGCTGTTCAGGGACATCATCATCATCTTCCCAGCCCGCCGGGACGCTTGTCCGTAGCGCACGCACTGACCCCGGCTGCCGGGACCCTCCTGAGAAGTGCTGGGCGAGAGCGGGAACGCGGAACCGCGGTGCAAAGTTTCGCTCACCCGCCACCGCTCGGAGCTTGGCGCGCCTTGCCCCGGCTACCCGCTCCTCCGCCGCCTCCGCCGTCAGTCTGAGAGGATGCTGGGCTCCGCTTGGCGCTGGCTGCAGACCCGGGCGCCCGCAACTGCCCCCGCGCCTCGCGACCGCGGAGTTATACTCCCCTCTCCCCGCGCCGGCCCCCGCACCCCCGCCCCCGCCTACACTCCCTCCCTCGCGCCTCCGCCCTCCTCTGCCAGGAAGCGCCAGTTTCTCCTGCTCTGATTCTAGCGTTGCTCCTTCTCCCTCTTCGCTACCTCCAGACTTGGGTCCTTTCTGACACCCGGGCTCTCCTGACACCCGCTCCCCCGCCGCGCCTTCCACCTCCCCTTCCAGCCCCCGCCCGCTCTCTGATGCCACCGCCCTTTCCCGGCGCCCCGCAGCTGTACTTACTTTAGAACCCCCACTCCACCCCACCCCACTGGCCAGGTCTGCACTCCAGTAAAGGGGCAGTTCCTACCTAGGAACTGGCCTCCAGCCCCTCCGGCTCCTTCCGCCCAGTTCCTGCCTCGCGGGGAAAAGAAACTCCTAAATAAAGTTGCGGGCCAAGCCAGCCTCGGGTGGGTTTTTTTCCTAGACTACTAGGAACGCCTCTTACCTGGCTGCCTCCCCCGCCTCCAGCTTACCGCTAAGTTCCAGGCCTCCGCCCCCACTGGGCCCGCCCCTCCTGGCAGCTCAGATGACCCTGATCCCTGGCTCCCCGCCACAGCAGAGAACCCAGACGCTGCCGCCGACCCGGATGCTCCGCGCTGCTCTGCGTTTCCACGCCGTGCGCGCAGCGGCTGGCGCTCTGCTCTGCGCCCCCTCGTCCGAAGAGACATAGGGTCGACAGGGCTGCAGGGCTTTCTCTCCCTGGGTTTCTCGCAGCTCTCAGCGGATTGGACGGTCGCGGAGCCGTCCCGGGTCGCCTATGCGCATGCGACTCCCCTCTCCCTCCCGCCCCCTGTCCCCGTGTACTCCCCCAGCACCACCACAGACACACACTCCTCTCCACCCTCTTTCCTCTTCTTCCGGATATTTTTCCTCCTCCTGCCTGAATCCAGTTCAGTGTGAGCTGGGTCTTGGGCAGATCCACTGGCAAACCCTGCCACTGGATTTATTATTCTTCATTAACCACAATCAAAGAAGGAAGGGGCAACTGACAGAGAGAGGCAGGGCCAGAGATCACAGAGCGCATGTGCTACTGAACCCCCCCCCAACACACACACACACACACACACACACACACACACACACACACACACACGCCCTCAGGGGCTGGCACAAGCCCCACTTATCTTCATTTCCACAGCCACTCAGCGCAGAGAGAGCCTATTTTTAGACAACACTTTGTTCCCACTTTTGTCCCAGTGGGGACCACTTTTCTTAGAAGTGGACACACACTGTTCCAGCTGTAAAAGACGGAGACAACCTCTCAAGCCTCTCCTACACACACACACACACACACACACACACACACACACACACACACACACACACACACACGCTTTTCTCTCCTCTCTGCTCTGCTCTGGTGTCCTCTCTCTACTTTCCTCGGTGTTGGGGGCTGCTGTCACCTCCCGGGTGGTGGGAGCAGAAGGAGCGGGGTGCATGCGAGGTTGAGAAAGCCTGGAGACCCGGACGCTGGAGCCCGCGGGTGGCCGGACCCGGACAGGGGTGGCTGGGAGCAGGTGCAGACACACGGTGCCTGGGGAAGGCTAGCAGGTGCGAGAGCAGGCGGCAGGCCTGAGAGGAGCTGGCGCGCGCTGGACAAAATAGAATGGGAAGGAGTGTGTCGGAGGGAGAGCCCTCGAGTGGTCAGTACCCGGAAGCCCCGCGGCTACAGCGAGTAGGAGGCCGCCCGTTCACCCGCTGACCTCAGCGAGGCTGGACGGCTGGTTCAAGCTGGGAGCATAGTATTGGCAAGTCGCCAGAGTAGTGGGAAAGGCTGCAGCAAACCTCGCGCACGGGCTCTGTCCATGGTCCTTAACCCTCTTGCGCTTTCTGTGCTATTCCCGGGTTTGCCTTTCTCCTCCCCCACGTGGAGGAACATAATAAATAGTAGCCGAAGGGGATTCCTACCATCAGTGTTCCCGAGCATGAGCCGGAGAAGCCTGGACGCCGGGCTGGAAAGGGGGTGTTGACATGAATGAATGCCGCTTGCGCCGGACGGTTCAAGTAAATGCTTAGGTGTTTAATTTCTATCTCAACAACAGCCAGGGTAATTTTCAAGGAAATAAAAAAAAATGACATTGTACCGCTCTCACTGTCTCAAGCTTCGAGAAACGAAATAAATCAAAGTTAAAAGCTTGAGTATCATTTAATTATAGTGCGAATAGCGCTTTGAAAGAAGTAGAACAACATCTCTAAACAAATTATGACTGGGCCAGGAAGGAATTATTAGATTGAAATTTCATTTAGGCTCGGGAGACACCGCGCTTCACTGTGTAATCTGCTATGCCTCATCTGATTTGTATGCTTAATTCAGCTTGACGAATTTATTAGTTTTCATAATAGTGAAAAAATTGAGCAGCACTATGGGCTAATGCATTGTGTGTACTATAAATTGTATGTCATCGTGGAAAGGCTGAAGTCTATAGAAATCTTTTATTAATGCCGGTATAGGAGGGAGGGTTTTCGTGCAAGCCTTGCAGAGGTTCACACCAAACTCCACTGTTGCTGTGTCTCGCTGGTCCATTAACATATCGTCATACTAATTAGACTGCTTCATCAGTGATATAATTTCAAACTTCAAATTATGTTCTAATTAACAAGGGTTGTCCAATTTGCTTAATCTTCAAAAGGCTTTGGATGGTCTAATTAGTATAAACTGTTGAGCATCTCTAAAGCCTAATAAAAATCCATTAAAATATTTTGGGTATGTTTTCTACCAGCACCGTGTAAGGGCCGAATGACTAGTGAGACTAGAAGGGAAGTAAATGGAAGACAAATGTCTGCATCTACCTGGTTCCCTCAGATTGTAATACTAAGTGAATCACAGGAGAAACTTTTGAGTATTGCTCATCCTAAACAGTGTGTTTATGAGTTTAAATAAGGGCATAAGAATATCAAGGAGAAAAACCACATGGGGGAAAAATTCTTCTCTTTCATTAGGTGCCTAATTAGATGTAAAGTGAAAAGCAACCCTGAGGAGTTTCCCAGGCATTATTGTGGCAACACTCTGCTGAACTTGGATTGCAAAATCAAATATTTGGGGGTGTTACGAACCTCTCCCTGTCCCCTCCCCTTTCATTGAGCTTAATTACTTGCAATAGTTGCTTTAATGTATGTTGTCACCTGGGAGTATTGAGAAATGCATATCGTTAATATGAATTAATCTTGATTTTAATAGCAACTGACAACTGATCTCCAAAATGCTAAACACTTGTCACCACTTCATATGGTAAATAAGGTAGTATAATAAATTCATGAAATAAGGAGGCACTGTTGAAATGACTGGAAAAACTTTGTTTGATATGGAGTTTATTGACTGAACTATTTTAAGCATGACAACTCCCAGGAGAATATTTCCTGATGGCTAAAATTCATATATCATTAAATTAATCTCAACATAACTTTTTAAAAATCTCTCAGATAGTTCTCAGTAATATCTCTAATTCCAGGCAGGGGGAAAAAAGGCTGACCTTTATTCTAATTATCAAGTTGAGATAAAATTAATATGTAGTGTAGAGTTTCAGGAGTTTATTTACTTGTATTGCCTTCCCCTGAAAAAAAACATACATTGAAAAAAAAAAACCAAGACACAGAGTTAAACTTTTCCTTTTCTCACTCAAAGTGAAAAATGAACAGCAGTGATTGTGTTGCATTAGGGGGGAAATGCAATTCTTCCTTCATCACCACGACTTGCAATCTTGGCAGTCATTCCTTCCAGGGTTGTCTTTGCAGTGATATCAATAAAATCCATTTCGGTTTTGCCCACAGGCATTGCTGCAAAATGCTCCAGCAAGTGTGGAAGCTGTTCATAGAGGGAAGAAGAAAGACTCCAGCCCCCAAGGTCGTGGAGGCCACCTAAAGAACTGGAAAGTCGGGGTGGAAGGCCATGGCCCAATATCCAAAATCTGCTTGCTGTGATCTCAACATACACTTTTATGTTGGTACCTCTGCACACCTACAGACCTACCTAATAAACCGAAAACAACGAAGTGATTTTTCTTTTTTTTTTAAAGCAGAGAAATGGAAAATAGATCAACGGTGTGACTACAGCAGGGACCGCCTTTCTTCTTGCCAAGCCTCTTTGTTTAACAATAGCTTCTGTCCCGTCCGCTGCCAGAAGCGGACAGATGTGACCAGCTCCCCTCAAGGCTGGCGAGGACTCGCTGGAGGTTCCACCCAAGCTCTCCAGCGGGGTTCCTGCGGTAGGCAACCCCTTCACCCCAAAATTAGCAGGCAGCCATCCCAAGGGGAGACATCACTGTCTCCTCCCCTGTATCTGGATCCTAATTTACTATTAAAATTTTAAGCAGTGCATTCATATTTTACCGGACCTAATGTGTTTTATTAAATTTTAATCCATTAAAGACAGTGTGATTTCTTTGTATTTCAAACAGAATTGAGTTGGACTGCAAGGAAGATTTCTTAAAGGATAGATTTGACCTTATTCATGCACCGCTTCGATCTCGGGTAAACAGGGCTTGGGAGAGGAAATAGGAAAATGAGGGACACCCCCCCATCTCATCTCCTCAAGGAGGCCAATCTGCTCCAGATTCTGAATAGAATCAGACCCCCTGAGCTCTCTCTGGATGCCATAGCTTGGGGCAGAAGGGAAGGGGGTGATTAAAGTCCTCCATGGCCTCTGCTGTTGCAGGGGAGAAAAATAGAAGGAAGGAATTATCCCTGAAATAGAGACTGATGGGAACGCTCCGAGAGCTGGCCACAGAGCCACGTGCCGGGACAGGAGGGCTCTCCTGCGTTTGTTACGTCCTGAGGTAGGGGCTATGTTCCAGGAGTGATGGGTGCATTTTGCTCAAACATCTTTCCTCTGCGAAGCAATGCTCTTGTGTTTGTCTCTAATCTTCCACAGGCTCCCCGTGAGCCCCAAGTCTCCCTCCTTCGTTCAAAAAGGCCAGGCACCCCTATGCCTGATGGCACAGCCTCCTCTC